TTAAGTGAGTAGTACCCATGGTACTACTATACCACATTTTTATTAATCCACTCATGAATTGATGGGCACTTGGGTTGTTTCTACAGCTTTGCAATGTGAATTGTGCTGCTATAAACATTCGAGTGCTGGTGTCTTTTTCATAAAGTGACTTTGATCTTTTTGGGTAGATGCCCAGTAGTGGAATTGCTGGATCAAATGGTAGATCTACCTTGTATCACTTTGAGTATCTCTATATGCTTTCCACAGAGGTGAACTAGTTGCAGTCCCACCAGCAGTGTGGAGTGTTCTCTCCTCTCCACATCTACGCCAGCATTTGTGTTTGGGGATTTTTTAAAAGGCCATTCTCACTAGAGTTAAGTGATATCTTGTGGTTTTGATTACATTTCCCTGAGATTAGAGATGTTGAACATTTTTTCATTTTGTTGGCCATTATTTTGACTTCTTTTGAGAAGTTTTGTTCATGTCCTTTGCACTTTTTTGATTAGAGTTGTTGTTTTTTTGCTGATTTTCCTGGTTCTAAATAGATTCTAGTTATTCAGCCTTTATCAGATGTGTAGCTTGCAAAATTTTTCCATTCTGTGGTTGTTGTTTGCTCTCTGACAGGTCTTTGGCTGTGCAGAAGCTTTTAATGTTGATCAGTTCCCATTTGTTTATTTTTGTTGTATTGTGATTGCCTTTGGGCTTCTTTATAAATTCTTGTACCTAGGCCAATGTCTAGAAGGGTATTTCCAACATTTCCTGTAGAATTTTATAGTTTCACACCTAAGGTTCAAGTCTGTTACCCAGTGTGAGTTGATTTTTGTGAGAGGTGAAAGGCGGGGTCTTGTTTCAGTCTTCTAATGTGGCTATCCAGTTTTCCCAGCACCATTTATTGAATAAGATTCTTTTCCCAGTGTATCGTTTTTGTCTGCTTTGGTCGAAGATTAGTTGGCTATATCATGGATGGTTTTTATATCTGGTTCTCTGTTCTGTTCCACTGGTCAATACTCCCTACTTGTTGCCAATACCATGCTGTTTTAATGACTATAGCCTTGTAGTATAGTTTGAAGTCTAATGATACTTTCTATTTTGTTTTTTGCCTAGGATTGATTTTGGTATACGGGGTCTTTCTTGGGTTCCATACGAAGCGAATTCATGAATTTTAATACAACACACTAAATATGATTGTGTAGAAGTGCTCAAAATGTCTGACAGGTCCAAACACTTTACCATGGCTACATGCTTAAAGTAGGATATTTGCAGCACTTAAACCTTTAACTCTTACAGAGGTGTGAATAGTATTATATTGACCTTTTTGTTCAAGTGATTTCCAATGATTAAGTGCTAGAAAATACACCTAAATATAATTTAACCTCTAAAAGTTTTAAGCAATATTCTCAATGAAGCATCTTTAAGGAAAAAATACAATAATGAGCCTTTGTAGCAAACTTCCTGAACAAGAAAAGCATCACTGACTCCAGAGCCTCTCCAGGTCAGACGGGCTTTCTGGTTTCCCGCTGACTTTCGCCTAGGGCAGAGCCTGGCTCCTACTACAGTGCCTTGCAGTATTTATCCAATGAACTATTTTGTAACCAAATGTTGGAAGGATCGTCATCATTGCCAAGAGAGTGAAATTTTAAAATAAAGAGCTGCTGCACCTTTTTGTTCTTCTCAGGTGTCTGCTCTGCACTAGGGGTTTAAGTCAAGTCTGGACACGGACCTGGAGGAGGAGGAGTGTGAAGGTTAGGTGGCAAGGCAGGAGACTGTCCATTATATACTTTGGTGCCATTTGACTGCTTTCTGTTGCTCATCTAAAACACCAGGCAACTAGATTTACGGGCCCCTGTCTGAATCCTCTCACTCTTCAAGATTACAGGTTTTTACCTTCCTGTGTACATCCTGTGTTTAGATATTTTGGTGCCTGCCATAACCTCCATTAAATTATTAAGGAAAACAGCTCTTCTCTATCACCAGCAGTTATCTATAAATGCTGTTTGTGGAATGCATGATGACGATTTTAATCTCAGCCTCAATTCCAAGTGGGACTACGAACCCCTCAGCTCCTCCTGGCTTGACAGGCTGGTGGTGCACTCTCCTATGTCTCCTTCTAGGAGATGCTCTGAGGGATGAGGGATTACCCAAACAAGGGGGACAGGTTAGGGCCCTGGGCCCTACCCTCTTCTCAATTCGCAGGGCCTGGGGAGTAGAGAGTGAGAGGCACAAGGGGCCTGCGATTTTCCAATGATCTTTAAAATTAAGAACTTAGCCGTGCATGGTGATGCACACTTATCTATAGTCCGAGCTTTGGGAGGCTGAGTGTGAGTCCTTGAGCATAGGATCAAGTCATCCGGTGGAACATGCAAGACCCCGTTTCTAAAAAAGAGAAAAGAGAGGCTGGCATGGTGGCTCACATCTGTAATCTAGCACTGAAGGCTGTGGTGGAGGGTGCTTGAGGTCAGGAGTCAAGACCAGCCTCAGCAGGAAGGAGACCCCTTGTCTCTTACTAAAAATAAAAAAATTAGCCTGGCATGGTGGCACATTACTGTAGTCCCAGCTACTTGGGAGGCTGAGGCAGGAGGATCAACTGAGCCCAGGAGTTTGAGGTTGCCATGAGTTAGGTGACTCACGGCACTCTAGCCCGGGCAACAGAAGTGAGATTCTGTCTCAAAAAAAGAAAAAAAGAAAATAAGAGCTGGGCACTGTGATCTCACCTGTAATCCAGCACCTTGGGAGCCAAGGCAGGAGGATCTTTGAGCCCGGAGTTATTTTTATTTTATTTTTATTTTTTTTTTTTTATTTTCTGGGTCCAGGGTCCAAGCCCCAGAGCACCAACGCAGTGGCACTCTCATCAGGCAAGGACGAGCCAGGAGTTTTAGACTAGCATGGACAAGAGCAAGATTCTACCTCTACAAAAAATTTAAAAATTACCCAGGCATGCGTTTGGAATTCCTGTAGTCCCAACTACTTGAGAGGCGAGGTAGGAGATCATTGTAACCCAAGAGTTGGCAGCTACAGTGAGCTATGATCTCACCACACATTCAGCCTGGGTGACAGAGTGAGACCCTGTTCAAAAAAGTGGGGGAGGGACTTACAAAAACTGTTATCAAAAGAAATACAAATGCAGTTGCCTTGTACATAAATTCCTCCAGCCACTACAGATCACTCACTACAACAGTAGATTATCTGTTCCTTGTTGTTTTAGCTCACTGTCTACTCTCTTGGTTTATTATGCCAGTTACCTTTAAACTTTAAAATTTTAGGTCCTTTTTCCTTGTCAAAATGTTGAAAGAATATGCTTTTTTTTCACACTTTACCCTTTGTAACCAGAAGGAATATGCTTTTAACATTTCTAAAATAGTGCCACTTTATTTAGAGTACAAAAACATTTATCTGCGATAAGGTTTATCTCTTGGATATGAATTAAATCTTTTCTAGGGTTAATCATTTTAGCTTTGGTGTACACAGGTTCTTCTTATTCCATCCTTCTTTATTGGGACCATTGTGGTTATTGGAAAGCAGGGAATAAATTCCTGTTTTAATTTTTTGCGCATCACGGGTTCCCTGGTAACAACTTTGAGAGCTTGCATTATGAGCCCTGCAACTTTGAAAGACAGCTGACCCTTGCCTATTTTACACGGTGGCAGCTCTAAACTGCATTTCTCCTGAATCGGACTTTCCTGTCAGCTGGAGGACGCTGGGCACTGTCGCAGGGTGGTGCCAGCCTGGGATTGGGGGCGGAGCGAACTGTGACAGCTTTATTCAGGCGTCTGCCAAGCGTCGACGCCAGGCCAGGTGTTGGGATGTAAACATCAAGCCCCAAATAAGCTAAGGAAGCGTCAGCTGGTAACTGGAGGCCGTGAGTGAGCCTCGTGTGTGCGAGCCTGCGTGGGCGCTCAGAAGAGCCAAGGCACCGAGGACCGCGCCACCAGCCGTCCAGCGCGTCAGGTTTAGGCGCTCGGGCGGCCGGCCATCTTTCTGCGCCTCCACCAACAGTGCGTAGCAGGTGAGTTCCGGATTCTTTTGGCTAATTTTTTCTCTATATTTGTAGTTGTCCAGCTACTTTCTTTCTATTTTTAGTAGAGATGGGGTCTCACTTTTGCTCAGTCTGGTTTCAAACTCCTGACATTGAGCGATCCTCCTGCCTCAGCCTCCCAGAGTGCTAGGATTACAGGCGTGAGCCACCGAGCCAGCCACAGTTATTCTTTTCTCATTTGTGTTTTAAAAAAGTGTTTTTAAAGTTTGAATGGAGGCCGGGCGTGGTGGCTCATGTCTGTAATCCTAGTACTCCGGGAGGCCAAGGCGGGCAGATTGCTCAAGGTCAGGAGTTCGAAACCAGCCTGAGCAAGAGCAAGACCCTGTCTCTACTATACATAAAAAGAAATTAATTGGTCAACTAATATATATAGAAAAACTTAGCCGGGCATGGTGGCGCATGCCTGTAGTCCCAGCTACTCAGGAGGCTGAAGCAAGAGGATCGCTTGAGCCCAGGAGTTTGAGGTTGCTGTGAGCTAGGCTGATGCCACGGCATTCACTCTAGCCTGGCCAACAAAGCAAGACTCTATCTCAAAAAATAAAATAAAATAAAGTTTGAATGGATATAATATATGCCTTTGTTTTTGCCACTTCATCTTATAGTGCTGTTACATAGAACCCCAGAAACAAGAGTGTTGTGAGTCTGCCGTCCCCTGGGGAGCACTTCTCAGCTCCGATGTGCCTCCAATTCAGTGAGGACGCTGTTGAATACGGATTCTGAGTGAAATGCAGGTCTGACGCAGTCTGGGTGGGGCCTGGGATTCTGCATTTTCAGCAAGCTCCCAGGTGGTGCTGATGCTTCTGGACCACAGACCACACTTTGAGTCACCAGGGCTTAGGTGGGGTTTGCACGACGGAGGGGGCTCACCACTGCGTGTCCTACCCAGTGGAAAGGAGTGAGAGAGGAGAATAAGCAATTTCCTTTTTTTTACCCCCATCTTTTTATTTTGAAAATTTCAAGCCGCCTGAATATTTGAAAGAATAATGCAGTGAACACCTATGAACCCTTCACCTAGCTTCACCAATTGTTAACATTTTAGCAATTTTCTCGAATTTTTTTTCTCTTTCCTTTTTTTTTGTTTTTGTTTTTGAGGCAGAGTCCCACTCTTTCACCCCAGCTAGAGTGTAGTGGCATCATTACAGCTTGCTGCATCCTCCAACCTCCAACTCCTGGGCTCAAGCGATCCTTCTGCCTCAGCCTCTCAGGTAGCTGAGCCTACATGCATGCGCCACTGCGCCCAGCTAGAGATGGGGGTCTCACTCTTACTCAGGCTGGTCTCAAACTCCTGACCTTAAGCAATCTTCCTGCCTTGGCCTTCCTTTAACAATTTTAAGGACATGACACACATGTTGCCTATGTCACCCTCATTTTTGTTTTGTTTTGTTTTGTTGTTGTTGTTGTTTTTGAGACAAAGTCTCCCTTTGTTGCCCAGGCTAGAGTGAGTGCCGTGGTGTCAGCCTAGCTCACCGCAACCTCAAACTCCTGGGCTCAGGTGATCCTCCTGCCTCAGCCTCCCGAGTAGCTGGGACTATAGGCATGTGCCACCATGCCTGGCTAATTTTTTCTATATATATTAGTTGGCCAATTAATTTCTTCCTATTTATAGTAAAGACAGGGCTCTCGTCTTTTGCTCAGGCTGGTTTCGAACTCTGAGCGTCGAGCAATCCCGCCGGCCTGCCTCCAGAGTGCTAGGATTACAGGCGTGAGAGCACCGCACCAGCTCCCGCCATCATTCTTGTCCACTGTAAAAGCTTTGGCACATAGCCTGATCCTGCTGTAAGAGAGGCTCAGAAATAAAAGCCTAGCTTGGCAGTGATTGGCCCTGCTATATAGGGTAGGATTCTATTACTACAAGAATATATGAGAAAGTCGGGCTCAGTGGCTCACACCTGTAATCCCAGCACTTTGGGAGGCCAAGATGGGAGGTCACTTGAGGCCAAAGTTTGAGAACAGCCTGGGCAACATAGCAAGGCCCATCTCCAGAGAAATGTTTTTAATAAAAATCTTAAAATAATAATAACAACATATAACACCATTTAGTTTAAAAAGGAGGGGGAAGATTGGACAGGAATGCATGGTACTAGGGACAATACTCTGCTTCTGACATGACTCATTGAATCTTGGTTTTCTTTTTTGTTTTTTAGTACTAATAGGAACTAATAGCCAGATGTTCTCTTCAAACTGGATTCTGGACAGCTTGAGCTAAATTTACAGCCCATCTCTAGAAAGTATGTAGGACTTCACAGTATGCATTTACATACCACATCACTTTTTAGTTTTCCACCCTCTTTTTCTCTTTGCCTCATGCATTCTTGCCATAATGTGTTGATCCTTTTAATTGGCTTTCAGTCTTTTATTGCAACAAGTTTAATTACTGTGAATTAAAAAAAATTTTTTTAGTGTATTATGGGGTACAAGTGTTAAGGTTACATATATTGCCATGTCCCTCTCCCCCCTCAAGTCAGAGCGTTCAAGTGTGTCCATCCCCAAATGTTGCACATTCTTCTTCATTGTGGTTGTATATATTCATCCCCTCTCCCCCCTCCCACTTTCCCGACACCCGATAAATGTTACTCCTATATGTCCACTAGTGTTGATCCATTAATACCAATTTGCTGGGTACATGGTGCTGGTTTTTCCATTCTTGAGATCCTTCACTTAGTAGAAATGGCTTCCAGCTCTATCCAGGAATGTACAAGAGGTGCTATATCACCACTGTTCTTAAGCTGAGTAGTACTCCATGGTATACATATACCACATTTTATAATCCACTCATGAATTGATGGGCACTTGGGTTGTTTCTACAGCTTTTGCAATTGTGAATTGTGCTGCTATAAACATTCGAGTGCTGGTGTCTTTTTCATAAATGACTTTTGATCTTTTTGGGTAGATGCCCAGTAGTGGAATTGCTGGATCAAATGGTAGATCTACTTGTATCACTTGAGGTATCTCTATATTGCTTTCCACAGAGGTTGAACTAGTTTGCAGTCCCACCAGCAGTGTAGGAGTGTTCCTCTCTCTCCACATCTACGCCAGCATTTGTTGTTTGGGGACTTTTTGATAAAGGCCATTCTCACTAGAGTTAAGTGATATCTTGTGGTTTTGATTTACATTTTCCTGAGGATTAGAGATGTTGAACATTTTTTCATGTTTGTTGGCCATTATTTTGACTTCTTTTAGAAGTTTCTGTTCATGTCCTTTGCCTACTTTTTGATAGAGTTGTTTGATTTTTTCTTGCTGATTTTCCTGAGTTCTAAATAGATTCTAGTTATCAGCCCTTTATCAGATGTGTAGCTTGCAAAAATTTTCTCCCATTCTGTGGGTTGTCTGTTTGCTCTCTTGACAGTTTCTTTGGCTGTGCAGAAGCTTTTTAATTTGATCAGGTCCCATTTGTTTATTTTTGTTGCTATTGTGATTGCCTTTGGGGTCTTCTTTATAAATTCTTTACCTAGGCCAATGTCTAGAAGGGTATTTCCAACATTTTCCTGTAGAATTCTAATAGTTTCACACCTAAGGTTCAAGTCTGTGTGAGTTGATTTTTGTGAGAGGTGAAAGGCGGGGGTCTTGTTTCAGTCTTCTACATGTGGCTATCCAGTTTTCCCAGCACCATTTATTGAATAAGGATTCTTTTCCCCAGTGTATGTTTTTGTCTGCTTTGTCGAAGATTAGTTGGCTATATATGGATGGTTTTATATCTGGGTTCTCTGTTCTGTTCCACTGGTCAATGTCCCTGTACTTGTGCCAATACCATGCTGTTTTAATGACTATAGCCTTGTAGTATAGTTTGAAGTCTGGTAAATTGATACTTTCTATTTTGTTTTATTGCCTAGGATTGATTTTGGTATACGGGGTCTTCTCTGGTTCCATACGAAGCGAATTACCATGAATTTTAATAACAACACACTAAATATGATTGTGTAGAGTGCTCAAAATGTTCTGAACAGGTCCAAACACTTTACCATGGCTACATTGCTTAAAGTAGGATATTTGCAGCACTTAAACCTTTAACTCTTACAGAGTTGTGAATAGTATTATATTGACCTCCTTTTGTTCAAGTGATTTTCCAATGATTAAGTGCTAGAATATACACCTAAATATAATTTAACCTCTAAAAGTTTTAAGCAATATTTCTCAATGGCAGCATCTTTAAGGAAAAAAATACAAATATGAGGCCTTTGTTAGCAAACTTCCTGAACAAGAAAAGCATCACTTGACTCAGAGCCTCTCCAGGTCAGGGACGGGCTTTCTGGTTTACCGCTGACCTATCGGCCTAGGGCAGAGCCTGGCTCCTACTACAGTGCTTGCCAGGTATTTATCCAATGAACTATTTTGTAACCAAATGTTGGAAGGATCGTCATATTGCCAATGAGAGTGAAATTTTAAAATAAAAGACTGCTGCACCTTTTTGTTCTTCCTCAGGGTGTCTGCTCCTGCACTAGGGGTTTAAGTCAAGTCTGGACACGGACCTGGAGGAGGAGGAGTGTGAAGGTTAGGTGGCAAGGCAGAAGACTGTCCCATTATATACTTTGGTGCCATTTTGACTGCTTTCTGGTTGCTCATCTAAAACACCAGGCAAAAAAAATAAATAAATAAATAAATAAAACACCAGGCAACTAGATTACTGGGCCCCTGTCTGAATCCTCTCACCCTCTCAAGCATTTTACATCTTTTTTACCTTTTCCTGCGTACATTCCTGTGTTGTAGATATTTTGGTGCCTGCCATAACCCTCCATTGAATTAGTTAAGGAAAACAGCCTCTTCTCTATCCCCAGCAGTTATCTATAAATGCTGTTTGTGGAATGCATGATGACGATTTTAATCCCAGCCCTAATTCCAAGTGGGACTACGAACCCCTCAGCTCCTCCTGGCTTGACAGTGGCTGTGGCTGCAGCTCTCCTATGTCTCCTTCTAGGAGATGCTCTGAGGGCATGAGGGATTACCCAAACAAGGGGGACAGGTTAGGGCCCTGGGCCCTACCCTCTTCTCAATTCGCAGGGCCTGGGGATAGAGAGGTTGAGAGGCCACCAAGGGGCCTGCGATTTTCCAATGATCTTTAAAATTAAGAACTTAGCCGTGCATGGTGATGCACACTTATCTATAGTCCGAGCTATTGGGGAGGCTGAGGTGTGAGGATTCCTTGAGCATAGGAGTTCAAGTCCATCCTGGGTAACATAGCAAGACCCCGTTTTCTAAAAAAAGAGAAAAGAGAGGCTGGGCATGGTGGCTCACATCTGTAATCCTAGCACTCTGGAAGGCTGTGGTGGGAGGATTGCTTGAGGTCAGGAGTTCAAGACCAGCCTCAGCAGGAAGGAGACCCCTGTCTCTACTAAAAATTAAAAAAATTAGCTGGGCATGGTGGCACATACCTGTAGTCCCAGCTACTTGGGAGGCTGAGGCAGGAGGATCACTTGAGCCCAGGAGTTTGAGGTTGCCATGAGTTAGGCTGACTCCACGGCACTCTAGCCCGGGCAACAGAGTGAGATTCTGTCTCAAAAAAGAAAGAAAAGAAAAGAAGAGCTGGGCACTGTGACTCACACCTGTAATCCCAGCACCTTGGGAGGCCAAGGCAGGAGGATCTTTTGAGCCCAGGAGTTTTAGACTAGCATGGACAAGAGCAAGATTCTACCTCTACAAAAAATTTAAAAATTACCCAGGCATGGTTTGGATGCCTGTAGTCCCAACTACTTGAGAGGCTGAGGTAGGAGGATCATTGCAACCCAAGAGTTGGCAGCTACAGTGAGCTATGATCTCACCACTACACTTCAGCCTGGGTGACAGAGTGAGACCCTGTCTCAAAAAAAAGTGGGGGGAGGGACTTACAAAAACTGTTATCAAAAGAAATACAAATGCAGGTTGCTTTACATAAAATTCCTCCAGCCACTACAGATCACTACACTACAACAGTAGATTATCTGTTCCTTGTTGTTTTAGCTCACTGTCTACTCTTGGTTTATTTATGCCAGTTACCTTTTAAACTTTTAAAATTGTTAGGTCCTTTTTCCTTGTCAAAATGTTGAAAGAATATGCCTTTTTTTTCACACTTCTACCCTTTGTAACCAGAAGGAATATGCTTTTAACATTTCTAAAATAGTGCCACTTTATTTAGAGTACAAAAACATTTTAATCTGCGATAAGGTTTATTCTCTTGGATATGAATTAAATCTTTTCTAGGGTTAATCATTTTAGCCTTTGGTTGTACACAGGTTCTTCTTATTCCATCCTTTCTTTATGTGGACCATTGTGGTTATTGGAAAGCAGAGAATAAATTCCTGCTTTAATATTTTTGCGCATCACTGGTTCCCTGGTAACAAACTTTGAGAGCTTGCATTATAGAGCCCTGCAACTTTGAAGACAGCTGACCCTTGCCTATTTTACACGGTGGCAGCTCTAAACTGCATTTCTCCTGAATCGGACTTTCCTGTCAGCTGAGGACGCTGGGCACTGTCGCAGGGTGGTGCCAGCCTGGGACTGTGGGGCCGGGAGCGAACTTTGTACAGCTTTATTCAGGCGTCTGCCAAGCGTCGACGCCAGGCCAGGTGTTGGGATGTAAACATCAAGCCCCAAATGTAAGCTAAGGAAGCGTCAGCTGGTAACTGGAGGGCCGTGAGTGAGCCTCGTGTGTGCGAGCCTGCGTGGGGCGCTCAGAAGAGCCCAAGGCACCGAGGACCGCGCCACCAGCGTCCACGCGCGTCAGGTTCAGGCGCGCTCGGGGCCGGCCGGCCATCTTTCTGCGCCTCCACCAACAGTGCGTGCAGGGGGTGAGCTTCCCGGGCCGCCTGCGCGCGAGGCCTGCCCGGTCCTAAAATGGCGGCGGCGGCATCAGGGAGGGCGGTGTCACGTGGGGCAGAGGCCAATGGGCTTCCGGCCTGCGCCGCCGCCGGGCCCGGGAGGCGGAAGTGCCTCGGGCCGCCGCCTCCGTCCCGGTTGCGGCCCCTGCCGGTTACATAACTCGTTGCGAGCTCCGCGCGGCCCCACTTCCCGGCTCCCTGCGCCCCCAGGATGCGCTGAGCCCCACGACGCCCTCTGCTGCCGTCGGCTCCCTTTCGAGGTGAGGCGAGGGACTGGGGGAGGGTGGCGCGGCCGCGGTTGCCCGGGGCTCGGGCCTGCGGTTGCGCGCCGAGCCGGCCAGGGCGGGGGTCACCGAAGGCAGGGGCAGCGGGGGGCGGGCGCGATGTGGAGGCTGGGCTACCGGGGAACGCGCATGCCTGGGAGGCTGGCCCGGTGCGTG